TAACCCTCATCAGGCAATGCCTAAGGCTAGACCTAACATAATCAGGAACAAAGTGACCAAAGAGTAAGTGCCTACCCAAACATTGTTTCCTCTTCACTCTCCAACTTCTTTCCTTTTCGAAGGCTCACATATGATGATTCAATATCCAAGGCAGGCGGAGCATGCAGTCTCACCACACATTCAAGCTTGCAGAAAACTTTTTTTTTTCTTTCTTTTTTCAGGGTGTGGGGAGGAATTTAAATAATTGTGAGAAGAGCTACAGTCTTCTGAGGAAAATCTCTGAGTAATACAGAAGGTCAAATCTGTAGAGTCTAACTCTTTGTAAGAAGGAATAAGGAGGAGGGAAAGAGGAATATGGTAAAGACAGATAACAGAGAAGACAAAAAACGGTCACTTTGCCTCATCATCAGTGCTTCCCACACACAGTCAGAATGGGAAACGAATGGCTTTATCTTTATCACAAGACTACGGAGGATATTGCAGTTAGAATGAGTAGCAAAGACATCCCTGCTTGCTGGATGCAAAGCTTGCTGCTATGATGGCAGGAAGGGCAAGTTTAAGATAAAACAAAAACAACAAAAAATGAGAGACTCTCTCAGTTTCTATTTGTACAAATCTGTGGAGCTGCAAAGCCCAGCAGGGACCACTGACCAGCCTCAGACTTTCTGTTGCAGTCTTCAGGCACTCACAGATGTTGATCAAGTGTGAATGGAAGTTCTGCTGCTTGTAACTGAGCTGTTGCATGACTGAAATGCAAAGCACAAGGAGCCAAAGAGTTCCTGGCTCACTTATTTCTTTCTTCATATCAGTTTTAGAACTCATCAGTTAATAAAAATTATTCAGTACACCACCATCGCATGAAGAGGAGACAGAAAAAGAATAAGGAGAGAGGATCCTAAAGTGAATATCAAAGCCTCACATAAACAAGGCATAATGAAGGAAAACAACAGCCCATTTTTCTTCCCTTCAGTATGTAGTGAATGTGCACTGCCTGCGAGCGTGCATGGCTTGTGCTTCCTATTAACAAGGTGCACGTTAATAAATTTAACTCAGACAAATTTAACCATCCTAGGGCCACATTAATCAAAAGCCTGACAAGACCATTCCAAAAGAGTTAGGCAAGGAAAATAAAGCACAGCTGACAAAGAGGATGCCATGCCCTGATTGTCCCTGGGCTGTTCCCACACTACCAGCACATCCAGTACCACAGAAACTCCTTCCCACTGCAATCCTAACGGGGCTGATCACACTGTCCTCCCAACACTACTTACCCACCCAATATCTCTTCATCAGTGATGTTCCCTATTCCTTACGTGTCTATATTAGAGAAAGATTTAGAGTATTTAAGTACGATCATGTGCTACAGCTACAAAGTCCTGATGAGTTTTGTGTTTTACCTGTGCCACTGGTGTTATTGAAAAAAGTCTCTCAAGGTACAGATTAACAAATATATAAAGGAGAAATAACAAATTTGATAGGAAAACAAAATTACTATAGCTCATGAAAACTGTGAATTGACCAGAACCAGAAGGAAAGAAGAAAGGCTATCAATTTTTATTCATTATCCATGTGTCAAGTTCCTCAGCACTGGAGCTCCATCTCACTTCTCAAGCTGAAATTTGTATGCATGAAGACTGTACAAACCAATGGGAGTTATTATAAAACCTCCACCCTTTGGTCCCTTCATATTTAGCTCTAAGTTGTTGCTTTTGAGCTATGTTTTTAGTGTGGAAAATAGTGACAAATAGGTCCTTCCATCAGCCAAATCACTTCACAGAGAGAAGGGCATTGTCATACAAGTTGAAGAAACTGAGAAGTAACAGCTGATCAAAGCCACACAAAGCAGCACAAATTAGGCTAAGTGCGTTCCCAAAAGCCATAATTATCCAAGCTGCTTAAACAAAATAAGCACATACATGATTATTCAGATTTGCCTAGAGGCATCCCCACAGCATAAAACATGGTGTGTTGTCTTGCTGTTCTCCCACTTGATAAAACAACAAATATTTTCATCACCTAAGAGTATTGATGTTTACTTTTATAGTCATGGAACATCAAGAGAAACTGTGCTTCCTTGTCTTGACACTGTCTTTTCCCCAAACAACTTCTATTTCAGTTCAGACAACTGGGTTTTCTACATGTTCTGTTTTGATTGAATTCAATTAGTTCATGGATAGATCTAGAAAGTCCTAAATCCTATTGAACTGCAAAGCTTCAGAGGAAGACTTGTTCAGTGGCACATGATTTCATGGCATTTCAGTCAGAAATACAAGATCCCACTGAATTCACATAATATCACAAACCAGGGGATTATCTATTTCTCTCAAAAATAAAGAGGACTTCAGCCACGTAACTGGGATTTGAACCCAAATGCTGAATATTACAACAGCCTGAAGCATTTGAAACAAGTATCTGTCCAAACTGTTCATAGATCCTTTATGAAGCATTCAGCAAATTTGTGCTGAATAAGTTAGCCAAGCCTTGTCTTCACAGACAGGTTAATGACCTTTGAAAACCTGCCAGACTCTCTTTTCACACTGCAAGATGCATTCTGATACATGCTGGAGAACACAGTGTTCCAGAAAATTACAATGCTTCCTAATATTGTCACATTTATATCATGATACTCCCTAAAAGTGTGTAAATCCTGGGGTATTACTGCGCCGACCAGTACTGTGTTGTAATTTCCTCCTGATCCTCATTTCAGCATCTGTGCCTCTCAATTGTCTTGAATATATGCTGTAAGTCCTGCACACACAGAGGCCATCCATTCCCCCATGCTGTACCACACCTGGCATGATAAGGTTTCAGTTCAGAGCTAGCCCCAAGGACTGCAGATTGCATAAAGTCTAGTATAATATTAGCATATGCAATTATGTTTCCCTCTTGTCTCCGGTGCCAAAAATGAAAATATTCTTAACTATTCCTGCCTTAGTTCCATTGCTACAGGCCTGTGATTTTCTTCCAGATTTTTTTAATCTCAATCACTGTATCTGCATGACTGCAGACCTGGGCATGTTGTGGGTTTGGTCAGAAAGTAAGAACACTGTTTTACAAAAAAATCTGGAGATTTTGAAATTGCTTTTTTGCTTTCCTATAACAAAACACACCTTTCAGAAAGTCCTTTCAAAGCCAAAGGCATTTAAATTCAGTGTTTAGCACATTCACTCATCATGTGACTGATGATGTCTTTGCTTTGATAAATCCAAACTTTAGTTTAGTTTTTGCTTTGTACGTTCATTGGAAAGGCATACTCATTTGGGCAGAAAAACTTGTTCACTGCATGTCACTTCTGGATGGCTCCCATCCTCAAATGAAATATTCCAACTTACTTTGTTTCAGTTGCCCTATTAAGATCTTCTGCCATGAGGTTTAAAAATTGCTGCCAACAGCTAACATCTAACCAGCTGATCATCTGCAGTGTGCCAAAGGTTTCTTTATATAACCAACCTTCCCCACCACAACTCCCACCCAGTAGTTTTCTGTTCTAGATCATTAGTATCATGAAACAAAAGTGCTTAAGGACAGGAATTATCTCTTTGAGTCAAGCATGGTGGACAGCACCCACCACAGCCAAACTCCCTAATCATGTGTTGTATGCACTACTGCAGTGTAAACAATACTAATAATAGCAACACCAACAATCCAATTTTCTCTCTGACACTGCCTCCAATTTCCGCTACTAGAGCTGTGTACATACATGCACTGTATGAATTCCCATGTAGACCGTACTTGGCAATTTTTCTTTAAATTTCAACCTAGAAAAGCAAGTTCATGTTCAGAAATTTGCTAATTCAGGGTAAATGCTCGATTTATAATAAAATTATTATAATAAAAAGGTATGAGCTCAGGATGATTACACTGTAATGTCAGCATAACTGCAGTCACTGTACTCTAAACCCAAATCAGGAAAGATAGCAATAATTTTCACCAGCTCTTATATTTGAGCTTCCTTTTAGTTTATGCATGCAACATGGACATTATGAGGAGCCCTACTCACGTAGCACCACATAGCAGTGAAAGGACAATTCTGCAATGAGAAACATAGTTCATATCACCGAATCCCTTTGGATTCTACTAGCCTAATACGTCAGTGAGATAATGTTATATATTTGCTTAGCATCCAAAAAGATCTTGAGACAATTTAAACTTCCACAGTCCCTCAAAATTCTCAACCTGTGTTATAGATGTGTGAAGAGCAGAGGTAAAAAAATCAGTTTAGCCCTTGTTACTGACTCAAGAAAAAAAGTCAGTCTACATATAAATAGTTAGTCATTTAGGCTTTAAAATCAAAGCTAACACAATGTGATGCTAACCAGAATCTTCTTACCACTTGTTGTTGATTACAGAATATCTTAATCTTGTTAATCAAGGCCACTAAAGTTCTAAAGCTTTAACTTTCATAATGAAAAATAACTACCTCTAGATATAATATGGCAGTTGTAATATTTACCATTAGATATTACACCATCAGTTAGGACTTGGACAGAATGCAAGGAGCTATATTATGTCCAGATGAATCTACTGGGCATGTTGAAGGAGCTGGAATTTCACCAGAACACTTCAGTTGATGTCCGCAGCTGGGAGAGTGATCTTGTACTTTTTTATATTTCCTCACCAAAGTCTGAGACTTCAAAATACTTAAACCATTTCAGTATGGAACATCAACACACACACAAAAAACATGACATTTCTTGTTGAACTGGTTACTTGAACACAGTTTCTTGCTGTTGGAGATATTTGATATTGAACTTTGTAATTTTTTCAGATCATTAAGGAAAAAACTGAAGTAAAACCCAGTGTCAAATCTCCTCCCTCCTCCATGTAAATCTGTTATTTTAAAAAAGCATTGTAATTGACTCTTCCCCATATTTAGATTTCTTTTTCCAAAATGAGAAAGGCATGAAAATCAACATATTCACAAAACAGGTTGTCATTGCCACTGCTGACATGACAGAAATTCGCCAGCATCTTTTTTAATGCTTCATTTGGTTACTTACAGAATTGCTCCAAGTCGTCCCCTTTTTTAGATTCTGGCATGGCAGTGATTGTGAGCAATGGGCATAGATTTCCTCCTAGTGTCTGGCAGAGTGTCTGCTGCCTCCAGTAAACCTTCTTGGGGTTCATATTTTGTTCCAGGATATCAAGATGGGACTGAGAAAGAAGCAAGGAAACAGAGTTATAAATGCATTCATGGTCTGTAAAATCTGATTTCATTCCACTAGTTGTGTGTTATTATTGGTACTAATTTTGATCTCTTGCTAACTTCCCAGCTCCTCTCTTCTGCCAATTAATATCATCACCTTTTACATCCCACAAATATGAACAAGCCATTCAGAATACATCCCAGTTCACTGAAGCTGCGCAGGACTATTTACTCTTACATCATGGTCTAGTTAAAGATGTCCCTGCTCATGGCAGGGGCATTGGACTAGATGACCTTTAAAAGTCCCTTCCAACCCAAGCTATTGTATGATTCTATGATTTTACCAGAAGAGTTCCTAGCTGCTGTTATTAGTGTAAAGTAACTTCTATGCATACATGAAGTCCAAAAGAGAACTGCATACTCTTTATATTTTAATAAAGACTCTGTAGAAACATGAGAAAACTCACCATTACTGAGTGCTTATAAAACTGACTGGTTAGCTGTCAAGCACATGTCAACGGAACTCAGGAATGACTCCACACCCAAGGCAGCCAAAAAGTTTACATCAAAAAAACATTTTGCACAATTAGTAGTGAAAAATTTGAAGAGCATCTTTCCAAGAAGTTAGTTAAAAAGGAGATTTTCAGGCCTCCCTCCCCTTCCGCAAAGTTTATGGCAGTTTTAAACAATTCTGAAGTCCAAACAGCCTCTTGAGAATTTTGAGAAAAAGAATTGGCAGCTTAAAGAAATGACTTTTTGGAACAAATTCTGATCGGCTCATTAAACACAGCCACTTGTCACCCACGCACCAGATGACGTGTAGTTCTCTGTTTACATTGTAATTGCAAGTGGCAAGATTAGTGTAAGTAATCCCATTGAAGGGTGTTGCTAAGTGTTGTAGAACACCAGTTGTCTCTTGATTGGTAGAAATAGGTATAGTACAGTATGCACATTTGTCCTAACAGTACTTTAACTAGAACACACCAATTCATTGAACAACCATTACATGGTAACTTTCTGTCTTTACAGAACAGGGCTAAATTTTAACAAACGTTTATGGGACAAGATGTTCCTGTCCCTCAAACCTTGGAGCTCACTGTCTTTCAGACTTCATTCCCAGTATCCATTTGAATGCAAACACAGAACTGAAATTTACAGTCATCTATGTCATAAAACAATTACCATACTGCTCTATAAAGTAAATTCAATTATTAGATGCATCTAATGATCTTGCATAGATACAGAGAAACCAATATAATCATTTCCTTATGTTCCTGGTACCCAGTGAAACTTAATTGGGTATAGCTGCCATAGAGATTTCAGCTAGATATCCAAACAATTAACACTGTGATGTAAAAATAGATAAATTACTGTTCATAAAATAAATGTAATTACTAATGGACAAAAAGTAACGAACTGCAGAGTGCATCCAGTTCAAATATGATTCTGCAATGTGCATTTCCTGTAAGTATTAAGTATATATGATATTTAAAAACATTTTCAAATTACTAACTCCATATACAAATTTATCTTCTTCCCCAAAGCACTATGTATTTAATTGAGCCCTTGGGTTTGTAATCACTTTTAATTTATTACTGATATGTAAAACCAACATACTTCACCAGTGGACAAATGCTTTAAAATGAAATCAACTGGTGCACAAACCTGATTTAGTTTATTTACTGTGGAAATTAAAGTAATATGGAAATGTGTAAATTGCATCACTTTACATTTTAAATTAGTCCAAGCAAAGAAACCTTTTAGAATTATTAGAGGCAACAATTCTGCTTTGGCTAAAGAGTTGAACATGACAATCTATCAGTCTTTTCCATCCATAATTCCCATTTTCCAAACTTTATGGTCCTGTCTGAGTTCATTTAAACTTTTACTGGGGCAAAATTCCTTTTAACTTCAGTGAGCATTTTATTTGAAGAAGCAGTGAAATATTCAAGACTTGGCCCTGCAAGTCTAGGAACAACATCTTTTTCATCTCTGTTCTATTCATTTATGAGCAGGTGAAATATTCAGGGATTCACAGAACATACAAACTCTCCAAGTCTCTCTTGCTTTTGTGCCAGCAGAAGATAAAAATCAATAACAGTAAAATAATGATGAAGCACTGCACTTTAGTAATAAGTCCACCCAATTCTTCAGTATTGTATTTGCCTTTTCTCCTGCAGACTATAGCATATACATGCCTTCAAGGCTATAGGTCAAACCCCACTGTTGGAGCATACTCTCGTCCTCATTGATTTTGAGGAGTAACTGGTACCTATAAGCCTAACGAGAAGTGAGCTGGCAGGAGTATTTTGGACTGTAAAGGCTTGACTGGCCCTCTCCCAACTATTGGAAGCAGTTTCTTTGAACATCTATAATAGGATGCGAAGCAGTTGACAAGAGACTGTTTTTTGAATGGGAATTAATCTAAGCTTAACTATGCTGGCATGCTGAGCAGCATAGCTAGTAAGTGGGAGAGGACATTGTTTTTCTTGAAGAAATCTTTCATATCTGGTAATAGCAAACCGATATGAAAGACTTCTTGAAGAAGTCTTTCATATCTGGTAATAGCAAACAACATTTTTAAAAAAATAGAGCAAGCCCAAACTTCACCAATCCACAATGGCATTTGTTGCCTGGAAGAAAAAGGATTGACAATGGAAATTGAGGGAAGAAGAAAAGGGAACTGTTCTACCAGAACTGTAAATCTTCATTTTCAGTAATATCTTTCTCATCTTTAACAACAAAGCAAAGCTACTCCCAGAACTATTAATTTCCCTTCTTTTATCCTAGTTTCCTTTTAGACCTTGGGCTCTTCTACATCCATCACAAAGAAAGCACATTGGATGCATTTCCCATAAAATTCCCTTACCATTTGCCCCTGGCCAGAAATGGTTGTAGAAAACAAATCCTTCCTCAGGAAGCTAACTTGGTACAACTCAATAACATAGTTTATACGTTGGACTTGTAATCTTTTAGTATCTGTACTGACAGCACTGGTGGGGGTGTCACAAATGCCTACTGACACTCCAGCTGGCACAGACAAAACAGCTGAGGAAGTATTCAAATGAGGTCCAGCACTGTGGTATTGCTGAGTGCAGCTCTGAAAGCTGAGCTGTTATCCTCTGTCAGAAGAAGGAGCAGGCTGCTTTCACTTCTGAGTTGCCACTAGCTCTGCTTCCCAACCCTTCAGGAGGAGGATCCTGCAACCCTAAGCAAGTGGAGACATCTTTGGTTTGTGTTATGACTAGTATAAATGTTAATGGTTTTTACCCCAGCTTATCCCATACAGAAATTTATTTTCTTCTGCAACATTCTGGGCTTCAGAGCTGACAGGACTGCAGTTGCAAACAAGGCAATGACAGCATCATCATCATCATTAACTGCCTGTGAAAACAGTCCTCTATCCATCTCAAAATCTAGACATACACAAGCAGCTAATGTCAGGCCCATTAACTTATCTAGGTGGACATAAGAGTGTTACCATCAGTGTAGAGTAGGTATAGGGATAATGGTAGGCCAGGTAGCAGACATCATCTTTATGAGGGAATTTGATGTTGAAGGCAAGTGTGTAGTAGAATTTTCCTCTTATGCCTCCTCCTGCAGCTGTACTGCAGCGGTAGTGGTTTCTGGAAGTAGATAAAGAGGGGGGAATTAGATGGTTTTCACTTATAGATGCACATTTGAAGCAACCATGAGAGAACTACGCATTCAGAGGAGCATCCACCCTGAATGAGCTTTCATCTCAGGCTGTAGATAGACTCCAAACTCAACCAGTCATTGTACCAAGACTGGGAAAGCCCCATGCAAGTACAGTCAATCCAATCCCAGCAATGACCAGGTACAAAAATATAGCACAGTGTAAAACAACATCCAGTAACACAGCAACACACCTACAGCCTATATGAAAGAAGGAAGTTAGAGAAACCATGGCTCCACTAGACAGAGGTGCAAACAGGATCATGGTGGTAAGTACCACTGACCAAGGTGGGACACCAGTTTCAAGGGCATTTCAGGATTCACACAGTACGCAAAGACAAGAAGGGAGTTAAGAGGCAGAAGTGCATGTGGCAGTACTGGGCACTGCCAGTCCCATCTAGTCACATGCTGCTGATAGATGGGAGCACTCTCATAGAAAAATAACTGTTTCATTTTGTGAAGGTGCAAATAAGAAAGAAGCCAGCTGATAATAGTTCATATAACACAGTCCAGACATATTTAAACTAATGCATTCAGCTAATACTGCTGTACTGCTTCCAACATCCAAATTGTCTTGCTCAGAGATGGAGGTCCCTATTCACAGCCCTGAACAATGCCATGTGAAAATATTCTGTGAAAGCCTGGAGATTTGGAAAATACAAATACCCTACCAAACCAACCAGTCAGTTCCACCACAGAAAGAAAAGGAATATTCCAGGAATAAAAAAAAAAAAATAAAATAGGACATACATAAAAAAGGCTCTTTGATGAGTAGGAAGAGGAGGAGAGTGGGTTTGGGCAGAGACTGCACACAGAGGAGAAACGACCTCATACAGATTTATAGGTTGTGAGCTACCCAAAAAATTCTCTCTTTTGTATCCCTTCTTTTTGAAGGCTTGAGCCTCTCTCTGTCATGGAGCAACAAGGACCATTTGCTCCCTAAAAGACGTGGAGCTGAGCTTGATATGGAAGCCAGCAGGGCAGGGGCCTCACCAGCCAGGGTCTCCTCCCACAGTACCTGAGAAAGGCATGCTCAGGGATTGCAGACAGGTTCAACCACACGTTCAACCACACGTCCAGATCATCAGAGAAGTTTGTGGTGATGAGGCACGTCTGGGTCAAGCCCAGAGGTCAGTCAATGGGTCAAGATCCGGATCACCAGAGTTTATAGCAAAGCACAAGTAAAGCAGAGACTGAGCTGGAGTTTCACTGCAACAGAGCTCAGACAGGGACTGAGTGGCCAGGACTGAGCTCAACCAGTGCTCCTGGGCCATGGGCAGACGGTGTGGGTGGAGGCCCTGGGTGAGGCTGGTCAGGATCATCAAGGTCTACTAATGCACTCAGGCCCTTGACACTCTTTTCATTAAAACTACAAAACCTTAAAGTTAGCTTCTCAAACTAGTTCCAGGACTAGATCTCTTGCAGGACACTTATTCTGATAAAGAGAAGACTTTAGGCTGAGTAAGAAAGTTTTCTTTCAGCAGAGATGAAGAGACAATTCATGCACTTTAGGGAGAAGCCTCCCAGCAAATTACATTCATAAGTACATTTCAAACAATATTTTTCCCACATTGCACCAATTATGCTGTTGCCAAACCTTCTGATTCTGAAGGATTGTGAGGTTTCTTTGACAAATGTTATCATCAATGTTGCATTAAAATGCAAAATAGAAGAAGCAACCAAAAGATGCAATTTCAGCTCCTGAAATTTACAATACTAGTTTATTTTGCTGCTGTTCATTTTTATTCAAAGGGATGGAGAGAAAAGATAATTATTCTTGTCAAATTCTCCAAAATAATCAGCTCTTTTTCATAAGGAAGACACAATACAATGCTGCTGGGTTTTCACCTGAATTTAATAGTTAGGAATATGTGGGGTGAGTGATACTGACTGGATTAATAAATAGTACAGGAACACCAAGTCACAGTGGTAAGCTGAAAAACCTATGATTTTATTCTCAGCTGAACCCTTCACCCAAACATTTCTTTTGCAAATAAGCCACCTTAATTTTGGACAAAGACTCAAAAAAAAAAAAAAAAAAGAAAAAGCAATAAACCCACAAAGATAGAAACATCTACTTAGCTATTATGTATGTATTTTAGCAAATTTGGGATTTGAGTCTTTTTTATTATTTTTTAAGTCAGAAAAATGTCATTTAATCCAGTTCTTGTTAATTTTGACAGTGAAGGATAATTAAGAACTATTTCTTGTATAGTGCATAAGGAAAGTACTCATCTCCATAGCTTCTATTATATTCAGTGTCGCTTGGAAGGTTAGATGACCTTATTCATAAAGAACTGTCACCAAGTGCTGAGACCTTTTGAGTCCTCCCCTCTAAATTAATGTTTGTAGTTAGCAGTGTGGGAGGAAGCAGGTCTTTGCAGGCAGATCCTGCCTAAGTATCCTACATACACATTATTCTCACTTGTCCCCAGTGCTCCAGTAAAGACTTCTTCCTGTATAGTCTGTAATTCTGTAGACAAAAATGTCTATTTTGTCCAAAATGCCCACTGAACTGAGAGATTTTGCAGCACCAGACTCCTCTGATCTTGATGCTATGCTGGTGGTCAATGGTCCTTACTCCTGACAGTGCTCAGATCTCACGATCTTGAGGGTACCAATGCACAGCACTCTCAATGCACTGCGTAGCAGCATATTTCATTCTTGTTCTGAGAACCACTGCTGTTCCTACAAACTACCTACCCAGAACAGATATTTCCAGGCTTTTGAATAGCTTCTTGACACCTGCTTCAATCTATAGCAAACTACCTGGTAGTAGCAGGAAGTTTACAGGTGGCTTTGAGAGGCCTCAATGTTCTTCACTCATGCATTAAAAAGAAAAAACACCTGTGTGTAAGTAGCATAAATGATCATATATTCTTACTGTATATAATCTGGTCTCCTCACAATCCATCATAACATGCAGTGGTTCTGATTTTTTTTAAAAGAAACCTAAAAAATAGCCTTTTCTTCTTTTTTTCCCTCTCCTGCTGCTGCCAGCCCAAGATGGCTTTATTGCCTCCTTGTTCCTCCATCAGACTGATAGTTTTTCTTCCTCATCCCTTTTTCATCACACCACTCTACCATACCAGCATGAAGCTCAAATTAATAAGCAAGGAAGAGAGAACAAAAACAAAAAAAAACAAACCCTAGCAACATCTGGTCCTCACTACCTTATTTGTGTTCTCTTTCAAAAAAGGTTCAAAGTCTCACATGCTCTCTAGAAACTAATACTCTGATTATTGGAAAGAAAATAAGAGACCAAAATGAGAGGTTTTTTCAAATCAGCGTGCAAGCTGTATCTACTGTGCCTTTCAGTTACTTTGTAATAGTGAAATAATTTTTCTTGCTGTTCTCCTTCAGAAATAATGTACAGGTACTGTATTTCTAGCATAGCTGTGATGGAAAGTTAATCAATAATAATTATAATACTACTTATCACTTACTCTACATGATAATTTTTTGAGTTTAAAAGACCTTTGCAAGCATTATCTAACTAAAACTTGATGCCCATTTATCTATTCCTATTCTTTGGCTGCAGATAAGTGACTAATTTTCCATCCTTTATAGGTGGGGAAACTGAGACACAGACAAGAGAAGCCACTTGGCCAAAGATATAGGCAGGTTAGTAAAGGACCTGGTTTGCAACTCAGGAATTCAAAAGTTGGTACAAGAACAATATCTCTTGGTCATCTCATCTTTAGACTTTCTGTCTGCAGCATTTAGTGTAGTAAAAAGCACTGGTAGGTGATGGAATATGGCATTGTATCAACTTAGGTTAAAATGGCCAAGGAAAATATCAATATCCTAGATTTCTAGGCTATTTCAAAATAGCCTAGAATAGGAGTCCAAATGGAAAGTAAACTATTTATTATATCTAATCTGCTGATACATTCCCTTTGTCTAGAGTCATTCTAACACCTGGAGTCTGGTGTCCTCATTTTACATGACCGTCTTACATCTCTAAGTGTGGCTGCTAAGTGCAATATGTTTTAGTAACACCCTGGTTTGTACCATTAAAAAGAAGTATTTAACAATTTATGGGGCACGGCTGTTATTCTGGGGTCTGCCACATTGGAAACTGGAAAATGCCCAACATAGCTTCCTTTTCAAGGGCCAAATCCATGTTAAGGCAACTTTATTGTCCAGATTTCAGGCAGAATCCCAGCTGAAGCAGAATATTCCCACAGCCATCTTGCTATTAAGGCCTTCAGTTGTATCGTAAAGGTCAGGTGCTGTCAGACTGAGACTGGTGTCTCAGCCCTCTCCTGTAGATATCATTAGAACTCAGAGGTGGCCTGCTAATGCTATGATGATGATTTCATCTAACGTAATTATAAAGATGCTGAAGAGAAAAGAGAAGACCTAGTTCTGACACTGCTATGATCACCAAAGAGCCAAGTCTTTAGTGGTGAACTGAGAACAAAACACTCCATGTACCTCATTACTGTCTGTGAATGGACTATTGTGTGGAAAAGCTAAAGGTTAGATAATATGCTTAGAATGAGCCATGAAACTAAAGGCACAAGCACATTGTCACCAATTCGGCATGTTGCCATTGTTCCTTAAATAATTTGCCAGAAAGGAATATTATTCAGCACATAAAAGCTGCCAAGACAGCAAGTGAATTAGATGATCTTACAGTAACTGCAACTCTGTTTATCATGGGTGTATCCTGTCACTTCACGGAGAGGCAATAAAATAAAGCAGAAGTGTCACTCAGCTTCCTTTTGACAAGAGCACTGCTAATGTTCTCCGTAACATAAAAATTCTCATGAGGCATATGGGAAAGGTACGCAATGACAGAGCTGTGCCACAACATTCATCTTTATGAGTGAATGATCCCATCTTCAGTGAAGATGAATGTCAGCAAAGATCAGCCAACGTGCATCACCCAGACATCTTGTGAACGTGCCTTTCCCCACCTTGTTTTTCAGCTTAGAGGTTGCTCTCAATAAAGACCCTGCTGCAAAATCAATTAAGGGCATCTTTGATTTCCGCCTTAATTTTATAAGCATATCACTTTTTCTCGTATTTATGAATAACTCCTGGTAAAAGTAATTAGATGAAGTTCCCTTCAAAATGTGCCAGTCCTACCCCAGGATACCTGTGACCAAGGTGAATGGAAATTAAATGATCTGTTTCCCCAAAACACATGCAGCATTGTATCACTGTAGCAAACCCATCTCTTCCTTTTCTGAGGCAAAGTCTGAGGAACCCCAAACGTACTTTCTTCACATTCCCTCCCAACTACAGCTTCTCATGACCTGGAATCTCTTTTGTAATCACTGAAATAAAATTAGATTTTCAGTAGAGGTGAAAGTGCATCTATGTGTGTGTATGCACATTCTTACGTATACAAAAATGTGTAAACCTGGAATAAACAGTAAATGAGACAGATAAGGAGTTATCCTAGATTAATATGTTGACATATAACTCAATGTAGTTAGAAAACACAGAATATTCCAAATCAATAAACTCCATTCTCTCACACAGTCTGAACAAGAATCTGATTGCAAGCTTAATTGTACAATCACGGTTTAATCTCAGAAGTCAGCTGCTGTTTCATCACTTCACAGTAGCTGCCTTGTTAATGACATGGGAAGCCACTGCTATGGTAATCACCATGTAAAGTTTGAGCAATCAGAATCCCCTACTCACAGAAACCAGAAGTTACAGTCATGCAAAGGGAAGACACTGCACCACAGTACATTAGTTCTTGAGGCAGAAAAGGTTAGGTGAATAAAGGTTAGTGAAGAGTACTTGGAACATAATAAAATAGCTACTCAAATTGCTATGGAGAGGACACCAGGCTGGGAAAGGATAATCTGAGCCTTCAGCCTACCTTCCTCACTGACCACTTTCCCCAATCCTCCCACCCCCAAAAAAAGAATTTAAAAAGCAAGCAAGCAAGTATAGACATTACAAGAGAGATTTGGGATGACCTGGAAATTTATTGTATCAACATAAAATTGAGGCTCTGCTACTTCTGGAAGGCAGCCCACTGTCATTGTTTGGGTTTATTGTCTCATCATATCCACTTGTGAACATAGCCACCTCTGAACCTAACAATAAAATTTTGAACTACAACAGAAGTATAAATTTCTTACGAATAGAAAGCTCATTATTTCACATCCATTTCTAAAATCAGCCTCATTACATGAGTTCATGAAGGACTACCATTTAGAACATCAGAAATATTCAACTTTGTCCTGAGAGTGCTACTTATCATGCCAGACAACTATCATTATTGTTGTGTTAACACCTTTCTGTTTGTTTGTATTTCCCTGGATGTCTGCAGTTATTGGGTAGCTCATGCCCTGTGCTTTAACTGCAAGGTATTAGGGGTAAGGACCAGACTTTTGCTTTGGTTATACAGTGCCTAATGCAGCACCCATAGAATCTTGAAATACCGAGGCATTTTGGTGATGCAAACTGGTGAAGAGAAATCATGATAGAAAGAAAAATAATTAGAAGAACAATAAATAAATAAAAGGGAAAACTTGTCACTCAGGCATCCTCAGCCCCATTTTCAGGTCATGATAGGTAAACCCATGGTAAAATAATTAATTAACACCAAATGCTGCTGTATTTGTTTAAAAGTACGTGAACTTCACCCATAATGTGTGAACTTCTACCAGTTCATCATCTACACGTGACCTCTTTTTTCCAGTGCAGGGCTCCTCTTCCTGCTTGCACCACCCCAGGCTACATCATTCCCAGACATGCCACTCACAGGTGCTCAATCAAATACATCTACTCACACCAGTAATTTTCCTACTTGTTCTATTTTGTGCCCCATACTTCAACTCTGCATAGATTTTCTAATCCAAAACATACCAACTATCTTAGTCCTGAAAACCCTTTCAGCTGTCATCTTGAAAATAGTTAATAGATGTTGTGGTAACATTTTGGAAGCCTTGAGAAAGTAAAATAGGGTTCATTTAACCTACTGAAATCCCAAGATCTGCGCTTGTCTCCTTTGGCTGTAATAACCAGAATGAATCGAGGGTCAGTTTTCCGCATGGAAATGAGATACCCAAGCGAGAATGCTTCTCACATGAGCCAAACTCTAGCTCACATACAAGTTAAAGATGAGACTGATCTAGTGTTTCTCTTCTGAGGCTCTGACACAGTGCAGAAACAGGAAGCTTGCATAAATATCAGCAATGAGCTTGTCAGAACTCCTTTACACACACCACTGCTGCCCAGCCCCTGTAGAAAGACAGAAGTTCCCATAGGACAGTGAGTCAGGCTAATCCCTGATATTTCTGTTATCAGGACAAAGTCTATACAGTGACAGTAACCATGGTCCACAGAGCAGTTTGCCTTCTAGGATTTGAGTTCCAGCTTTTAAGAGAAGGGAAGATTATGAAGATACTAAGATACAGAGATAGATTCACAAACAAATAAATAAATGTGTATTTGTATAGGTCTTTTTTAACATATATATTTATACAGGTTTGTATACATACACACCACCACCATCCCTCAAACTCCCCTATGTATATGCTAACCCTTTCTTTAGCTCCTCAGTTCCTACATCTCTTACAAAATTCAGTGTATGCAAAAGAAAAATTATGATCCCATCCAGCTCATTTATTCCTGGACATGGGAAAAAGCCAACTACACTACTTCTGTGGGTTAAGCTTCCTTGTATTCTCACCTGCATCACCAAGATTTGAGCACTCCCCATTCCCTTTCCTCCTCCTCCTGGGGAAGTGAATTCTATCTGTTCCCTGTTTCTCTCCAGATATCTAATACAGAGCTCTCACTTGTAGCTGTTTTCTGAAGGTGGACGCATATAACACATTGAGCTCACACCGATTTAGAGACATTTGAAATAGGTGGTACTGGTGGTCAAAGGTTAACAACATCAATACAGTTAACAGAAGGGGAACAGAAAGCCACAAATTATTCACCAAAAATGCACTTACTTGTAGTAGCAGATATCCTGGCCTGCCCGAAGCCAGCGAGGCCTGCCCTGGAGAGCTTCCTTCACTGAATACATGACCAGCTGCATGCCTACATAAAACAAGACAGTTTCAAGCAACATGACTTCCCTGGATGGAAGACAGGGGTGGGGAGGAAAAGCCTAAACAAGAAGCATCATTATTTTGTCTGTGCTCTCCCTGCAAATAGTTCATGCAAAGTAAATACATTTCCCAAAGCCCCATGCTTTGTTCTGATATAACCATGTCTGTACAAAAAGCACCTCCAGAAGAGATGAGCTGAATTGAGTTCATTAAAAAGCAAATTATCCTACTGGCCTTTGCAAAGGAGGACTTCAAGCTGCCCTGTTTACAAACAGAAGAAGGGAAAGAAAATAATAGTAATCAAGGTATCAATAAGATCAGTAATTTTGTTAGTCCAATATTTTATGCTTGGCTGCACCATTATTGAAACTTTAATCCTACCACAGCATTAGAGATCTTCAGGGCATTCAGTACCGTGCTTTCAGAAAGTAGCAAGAGAAACTAGAAGAAGGTTTTAAACTCGCCATTAGACCTAAATAATACCTATGTGTCATAAATGCTGATAACGATAGCATCCATCTTTGTACCATATTATATCAGAAGATGACTTCTTCCTGACCTCCAAAATATTATCATTTCATGCCCCAAGGTATGAGGTTTTCTCTGATCTGAGCTGCATATACATTACTCACAGCTCCATGAAGCCAGCCCATCTGCAGGCATTTTTTGTAACAAATTCCTTTGCTCTACACACCTGCATGCTCTTTTACGGATATGGTAAGGATCCTGCCCTCACCAGCAAAGCTCGCTGCATGGAGTGTCCCTGGTGAGGTGCTGGCAGCTGGGGGCTGCAGGGGTGGTCTCTGCCCCAGGGTGGTGCCAGCCAGCACCAGCAGACCCAGCACAGCCACGGCTGAGCCCAGCAACGATACTGGTGGTACTTCTGTGAAAGCATATTTAAGAAAGGGGAAAATGCCCTTTCAAGTATTTATGCATGTTGATAAGTTGTCCCCTGAGCCTTCTTTTGGCTGTTGTTGTGCTGGGAGGAGGTGATGCCTGAAAATCATTAATACTGATGACATATTTCAATAAGAAGCTATTCATTTCCCCTTCCTTTTTGTTTCTCTGTTAAACGCTTCAGTGCTTGCTAAGAGCTGGCAAGTGTACTGGCAGAAATGCCTGTCCAGCTCACCTTTGGCTGTGGTGTGGGATAGCCCTAACTGGTCTACAGCTAGGAGTAACATCTATATTGCTGTCTCCTGAACAAGCACCATGAGCCATGTATAAGAAGCAATTCTGTGTTTGGTTCTAGGACGTGGGCCACAGTGAGTTTTGAGAGACATGGGCCTGCCCAGAAGCCCAGTTCATTAGATAAGAGATGTGGGTCTCAGGGTCTGCAGTGCTCTCAACATCCCAAATTCCAGCTCCTGCCCTGCTCTGAGTCCAAAGCACACACACACACACTAAACTGCCTCAGAGTGATGGTTGATACTGGTCTGCCATCTCATTTTAATTAAAAAAAAATAATAAATCAGTTTTTCCTTTCTACTTTCCCTCTGGAAACATTTAGTTTCCAAAACCAAACACAACTCACGCTTCTGACAAAATCCCATTATTTCCCACAGTAGAGAAAGTTAGTGGAAAAGGGGGAAGAAGAGAGGTGGACGATGCACTTCCTCACTTGATCTGCTCCTGGTCACAACTACTTCATTTAATATCCTTTTTGCTGATTTCAAAGTTACACAGTGCCATCTAACCAAGAGCAAAGGGAAGGAAAAAATCAAAACAGATCAGTAATCAGGAACTGTAAAGTATTGCCACCCATGGCACTTTGGCACCATATCACAACCGAAAGCTTTTAGCACTATAGCATGGGCATTAGCGCAGGACAGTGCAGAGGGAATGTAGCAAATAAACAGCATCTCATACCAACAGTCTGTGTAAATATTATGCATGTGCTGGAAGGGGTAGTGAGCCCTGCTCAGCCAAGCCAGATAAGCTAGAGCTTTACTGCCCTCTCAGAGCAGCAGAAGTAACCTGCAGAAGAATTGCTTTAACAGCCAATCCCACGTACAAGCTGTACAAAAGCAACCCATGTCTCTGCTCCCTTCTTACACTGATGGCATTTTCACATTTTTCTTCCAAATGCATTTTTCATTGCACACTTGAACATGTGAGTCATGTACAATTTCAGGTGCACAAAATGAAATTATAAATGCTGACAACAGCCAAACTAGCAGAAATAAGCAACCTTCTGCCAGTAATAGCCAGAATCTCTAGCTGTGAAACTACTGGTGGCTATATCAGAAGTTGTATTGGGGTTTACAGTAGGACTTCAACACACTTCATTTTCAGGCTGCTACCAGGCACACCATACTGAATTGTTTGGTAATTCAGGAAAGCAGAGTAAGATGACAAAAAAGAATTCATTTGGGATCTATATGAATACTTGAACTCCAGCCCTTAGGGTTAAAGAGCAAATACCTTATAATTCATTATGCCATTCATCCAGCCAGTTTCACAAATACAAGTGACAAGTTATTCCAGCTTCTAGAGCTATTTGTTTTAGGTACATTGATCCTGAGAGAGTTCTCCTGGTGATGTCAAAGGCTGTATCCACAGGGCTTCAGAGGAATGCAAAGTTTGATATGAGGGGCTCATTAAATATTCTGAGTCAGGTCTTGAGCTGGTGTAAATTAACATAGCTCCATGGAAACAAATAAAAAAAACAGCCTATGCCAGCTAAGAATTCAACCCACAGTCTCCACGCAGAAGAAATAATTTATCTTCTAAAGTGGGAATTGAAAGATGGGATTTGCCCTGCCTATTTCTGAGCAATGCCACCTTCTTCCTGAACCACAGAGTATGACAGGAGCTCAAAGAAAGCAAAGAACAGACATTTTTTTAATCATTATCAGCAGAAGTCTCAGCAGGTCTGAAGGCAGAGATGTCTTTCTGGATAAACCCAAGGAATCAGGAATATTTGTTTGAGGATTATCTACATTTATTTAAATCTTAGAAGCACTTTCCAATCCTGTGCCACATTCAATTCCAACAGATCATCTTTTTTTCCCCTCTCCCAACTCCAATGTCATTCTTCTGCAATTCTGGTCTCTAAACACAGAACAATGACATTTTTTTCCCCACAAACCCTCTCCCAGGTCTCAGTAGTCAGCTTAGTCCTCAGTTCTCCTGAGGACAGAGAAAGGTTCTTTGGCAAATCTGAAGTAACCCTTTCAGTGGATTTCACGGCAGATAAGATTAAATTTACAGTGTTCCTTACAGACATGGAAAGTTTGAAACCTTTATGGCGTTAAAAAGATGTTATTGTGAACAGACAACAACGTCAATTCCCTAGGCTCATACCATAATTAAATTGGCTATTGAACTTCTCACAGTTGATAATGTTGAAGCGATAGGAAACTGCTAATTTCATGTCACGAACTCCAAAGTAGAACCACTGGTGATGCTGGTTGCTGTTCACATCTGCATTCATAATTAAGTCATATTCAAACCTGTAAAGATAAGAAAAAATGGTGGCCATGAACACCTCATCAGCCTGTCACTGAACCTGCTGAGAACAGTAGAATATACAATCAAATTCATTAATATCCTGTGAGAGTCAAATAACACTATCAAACTAATGGTGCCTAAACACACCATTAAATACCCACATTATGTTAATCATGTCAAAATATTATGAGCCTTATTTTCTCACTCTTGTTACTTTCATGACATCTAGGTGTTGGAAGGCATGATAAGCTCTTTGTCATATAACCTGTTTCCCTGGCTGACCCTTTCCAAACTCAGGAGATCCCCCCCACTTCACTCTGTGGTGACAGCAGAAAGGCAGGCTGGGACACAGCCGCTGCAGGCGTACTTACTCACGCACTTGGATGGCTTTGCGAAGGTTTCCCGATTCAAACTTGGAGAAGAATGTCAGACAGCCTGGAGCACCTGAGCTTGAGTGACTGCAGTGAACCAAAGCAAGGAGAACTATAGCAGGTTGATTCAAAGACAAGGCATTCACAGCACCTTGTGTATGTTAAAATGGGATTTTATAATTTTTTTATAAGCAAGACCCTGCAAAGTAGCAAGAGGTGAACAAATCCATAATATTCCTATGCAGTACAGCATTTTGCTCTACTCTTGCTTAGTGATTCTAAATTGTATCTTCTTTTCCTTTCCCAATACTCCCTTTTGTCCCAGTTGATACTCACTTTCTTTCTTCTGGTTACTTCCCCACTGAGTTATCGCCATTAGTTTATTATTTTTCACAAGGCAGCTTTATACAATTACTATACTTTTACTCTTCCCTCACCTACATAGTTTTGTTCTCTTAAATCTTAGAAACCCTTAAATTCATCTTGAACAACTTCACAACTTCCTCTTACCTCAAACTATCCTTCACCTATTTTTGCTCTAAAGAATGTTCTCTGAGACACTCATTCTTTCTCTGAATGCAATTTTTTTTTCATATTTGGGACCCTCTCAACTGCCCTGTGCTACATCTTCTCAAAGACCACAATTACTGGCCATAGTCAAGCACTTAAAACAGTTCACAAGACTGGATGTATTGTTTCCAGAAGCCTTTTAGAAGTGCCACACCTTTCAAGGTACATCTACAGCCTGTTGACACCAGCTGTACGGGCTGTGCAGTGAAGCACACCCTCAATGGGAAATGCTGCTTCAGGGTGTGGAGAGAGTGCATCTGGATTCATGGGTACAATTCCCAGCGTCGGCCTGCATGCTTCTACTCCAAATCACTACATGCAATGCAGACATATCAAGGAACACCATACAGTCCCTTTGATAGATAGATTTTCTTGTTCTGCCTAAAAGGTTTTGAGGCTCTCTTGCTCCAGTAACTTCCACAATGAATCCTTTCCCCAGATCCATGTACAAGGAATCTACTCCTCCTCTATATTTTTTCTGCTGGGACTTTACCTCCTAGGTTATTTCTTCTAAACGTTCATCAGTACTGAAGAAGTAAGCTGAGCTCACTACCTAACCCAGCATTGACAATGCCCCCTGACTACAGTACTCAATTTAAGTTACCCACCTGGGCTCGTCTAAATCAAAAACAGTTCTGCCTATCACATCACATGGCTGGATTAAGCGGCGAATATCATCTAGTACTTTGTCCCTAGGGGAAAAAAAAAAAAGTAAAAAACAAATTGTAATGACACTGAAAGAAATCTCAGTATAGGGTAATCATGTAGAAGAAATATGAAGAGGCCTAGGAAATTCTTTTGAAGTACTCATAAGAAAAAGGACTTCCACATGCTGATTTCATGTGAATTTCATTTGTATATATATTTTTAATTTTTATTTTTACCATGAGAAACTCATGCTCCATTGCCATTACAACAAGTTGCCTTTTTGGGTTAAATGTGTGATTCTGTAAAATTTTTATTCACTACAATATTCTGCCAAGTTTGATTTATCCCCAATTCTTCCCAGTCAATGTCAATCTCCCAAATGGCCAGCCTTGCCCTGTGAGGAAATATCTGCCAGAACTTATAAACCTACTAGTCTGTCTCATAGTGAATCTTGACTCTAAATCAAGCTAATTTGTACTCATTATTAAACTGAAGTTCTCTGATCCCTAAAGATGATCAGATGTGGAATACCAGATTTTCTTCCTGACCTTTGCAGCAATCATGTTATGCCCTGAAGCATGATATGATTATTCCCATTTTAGCTCTATGGTTACACATGTTATTATAGTCATAAAAGCAAAGCTTTTAAGCAACAGTGCAAGGAGAAGATGGTAGAGTGATTTTGCCTCTAAATAATATTTTTAGCTTTTATATTTGCTGCAGAAAGAATCATTATCTTTCTAGAGGTCAGAAATTAGTGGTCTTCACAAATGCCATTTGATTAGCAGTGATCAACTTTAAAGTTTAGCATAAAATCTAGCCCCTTTGGAATCAGCTAAGAATTCCCTATACCACTAAAAAGAAATGTAAAGTCATTGCATACAGCCACACACAGAACAGACAAAATGGTAGTTATAAGAAGAGCTTTCTCTCCCAGCACAGCTTCAAAACACAGCTTTCCCCGCATCTGAACACCTGAAATAACATGAGAAAAACACCAGCACCCATAAGTGTGCCAGAGAGATCTGTGTTTATTTCTTCATGTTGTATGCCATATATGCTGCCTTCTCCTATCAGGCTGAGCAGTAGGGAGGGAAATCAGCTTACTTATCTTGTCCCCACTGCTGCTCTCTGGCTCATGGCAGACTTCCCAAAAGCAGATGCACGTGCTAGGGAAGGAGGAGAAGATTCTGGAGGACTCCATGGAGCAGGCAGAGAGCAAGAGATACAGCAAGAAGGGACACAGTAGCAGAAGGCTAGACAGGGAGACTCCTGAGAACAGCCTGACACAGACACACAGCACTGAGAGGACATAAAAGATTTTTCCTCAAAGAACTAGATGGGATGCAATGTTGCAAGCACTAAATATGGATTAAGAGCAAGACTGAAGGCAAAAATGTATCCTGAAAGGATGCAGAGTCTTATCCATCTCTAAAATGTACTTGTTCTTGTTTATGTTCTAACAAAGTCACATATTCACAGGTCATTCTAGGTCCTGGTCTGCTTACCTTAAGGAAAATCCACTAGAAAATCTATATCAGAGGTTTACCAGCTTAGAGTCCCATCACATACATAGGTACATCTATACTTTTATCAATTACTAGTTTAATAAATAACAATTTGGAATATGAGATGGGAGAGTCTTTATGAATTTACAGAAGTCATAAAAAACTCACTCCGGGTTTGCCACTACCACCGTGATCTACAAGACAACAAAAGCAACACAACAGGCCATTCACAACTCATCCACTGACATGGAGAAAGTCCATATCAGGGATAGGAAACAGGCTTGCTCATTCCTGATCCTGTTTGTAATTCAACTGGTACAATTGTAATCCAAATGATATCATTTTTCTTTCCTCAAGAGGAAAACACAAATAAGCTTATCCTGCTGTTTGGCCTTGTGGAAAATCATTGGATAGCCCCAATTTTTTTCTGTAACTTCCTAAAACATTCAGAGATGTTATAGTCAGAACAGACATAAACCAGTTTTGTGCCTGAGGGGTCTCAGCGTGGTAATCATATTATAAAGCACAATCACCTTTGAATCCCATACTTGCGCTCCAACATGGGCTTGATGTAAGGAGGTGGCTGGTGACCCCAGAAATCAGGGAATGCCAAGTCTTTGTAGTCTTGTATGGACTTAACACATTTGGCCCTGGCTATGTAGAAGCAAGGGTTGTGGAATGGGATATTCCCTTGGTGTTTCTCCAGAAGATTTGTCACTATGTCTGAGCTCTCCAGGCTCCCTCCAGGATTAGGACTGATTGAGGCCTCACATTCAGAGTGAAACATTTTTTTGTACCAAACAGTGTCTTTTGGGACAGGATGCAAAGCAAGCACGTGACTTCTGGCTGGATCTTCCTCTTCACAGGAGTCTGCATCTGGATCTGCTTCTGCAATGTCTCTCTTTTCATCAGCCTGATCCCATCTGCATTTCTCCTTCTTTGTCCATCTCTGCAGTGGGACTTTGAAATCCTTTTTCCCTGGATCTGGTCCCATCCCTCTGACACTTTGGTTTCTCCATCTGTAGTTTGGATCTTTCACAGAAGTAGAACTTGGAATGAAATGAGAGGGAGTAGAAGGAAGACTCTCAGTCCTGTCCTTCAAACTCTTCTCTTCCTCAGACTCTGATTCGAGCTCCTTTAAATTCAAAAAGCAGAAGAAATTATAAGAAACTAAAGACAGATTGTGCTCCCTTCCAGAGGAAACCTTTCAAGGAAGAAAGAGAAAATATTTACAAATCTCCCAAAACTACTCATCCAATATGACAGCCAGAGTGGAATCAGCCCATGGACCACCTGTCAGAATTTCTCTATCCACAAAGCTGTTTCAACAGTAGTCCTAGAAACTAAAAGGATCAGATTGAGTCATCTGGGTGAGTCATCTCCAACCAAAACTGATTGTTCTAACAAATTAGGGAGGATAATTTGCAAGGCATTTTTTAAAAATATAAATATTACAGCAGGGTAAGGGGGGCAATCTGTCATGCAAGACTCCACCCCTGCCTTCATGCAAGAATATAACTTAATCCCATTGGGCTATTAATGGTCTCAATAAATGTCACAGCATTGTGTGTACAGGAGATATATTAAGCCAGTGGTCCTTTCTAGATTCATATTTGAATCACGTTTTTCAGATTTCCTAAATGCCAAGACTTGTAATGAGCGCAATACTCCATTTCTTGTCCCAGACTGCAGTAGAACAATGATATGAACTGTGCATTTCACTCAGTGGCAGTGCAATCTTCTCCATCACTTCCTTCAGAACAGTAGTTGACAATATTTATTTTCCACATCTCATTCTAAGCTCGATATTGTCATTGAAATTGCCAGCAAGGATACAAATTTTTATCTGACAGATTTCTATTTGGGAACTGATTGTGTTTAAGTAATCCATACCCAGTGTTTTGGTAATACATACCCAGCCAAATGAGTACCAAACAACACCACCGCCTTTCTATTACTCTTTATTTTCACCAGTAAACTACAGCAAAAAGTCTTAATTTTTGTTTTCCATGTCCTAGAAGACATCTAGGTTTCCTTTTGCAATAGCCTTGTCTAGTTACCTCTTGTCAGTACTTGCTTTCAAGTATTTCTTAAACTCTTGAATATTCACAAATAAAGGAAACCACATTGTGGTAGTACCTGAAAATTATGGGAAAGTTCTGGACACATTACTTCATATTGTCTAAGCTCTTCCTCTGGTCGGTCAAGCACTGGCCTCGACCTCAACTTGTTCACATCTGTTTCCAAGTCATAGTCCTACAAAAGCAGAATTAGAAAAGCATATATATTCAACATGCCCCACAAGATGATTGTTAAAGTCATATTCTGCATAATACCCTTGATTTCTAATGACATCATACTCTTTTAATGAGTCCTGTAACTGTTCTTCCCATACTTATGAAGGCTGTTAAAGTAATTTTATGGAATGGAAAATAGAGGCACAATAGGAAAGACTACATCGTGAAAAACAGTAATTTGATATTTTAGTATTTGAATACCTAAGTAGAAATATCATGAAAAGATGGTTTCAAAAAAGCATCAAGACTGAAACTTGAACCTTTTTATAAGCACCCCCCGCTTGGCTGGTTTCAAAATAAGAGACAGCAACAACTACTAGTAATTTCTGAGCATATCATCCATTCCCTTCCTTATGCTGCAGAAACCAGTAGGCACAAGTCCTCAAGATGTAATTGGTAATATTCTGATTCAAAGAAACAATAATCAAATAAATGTATATTTAGCAAGAAAATTCTCAAAGTATGTCAAAGCCAAAATTTTATTCACAGGCCACAGCAAAATTAGAAAGCTTGACACTTCTACCTTTGATTCAGACAACCACATGGTTTCTCCGAGTGCCACCAATCAAACTGAAAGGCCCACATCTGTATCATTGAACTTGCAGTCACCAGGTGCTTATATTTTATTTTTTCTTTCAATGCTGCTTATAAAAATATATGAAAATCTTGCCCAATCCATCTTCTATACTCTACAACTTTGTTGGTATTTTTATATGAAAAAAGTTTTCTAGATCTCAACCATCAGTGAATCGGGGATAAGAACCATATCTGAAACTCTCACAGCAGGAGATAACTGCGCATTGATGTGCAGCCTCCTCCATATCAGATATGAGAACCAAAACCAAACTATGTCAAGCATTTGGTCATTGCACAAGAAACCAGGAAAAGATAGGGCAAGAGGCAAGCATGAAGACATGGCATTGATGACTGAGCATTGCACTACAGCATTATTCAAATAATTCAACATTAGTAAGTATGCGCCATCAAATTCCAGCAAAGAAGTGATTAGCTGTTGATAGAGTTGTTTCTGAAGCTGTTATCAAACAAACAAACAAACAAAAAAATGCCTGAATGCAAAGGTGTCAGGTGTCCATGGCATTTTAAACCCTGAGCCACACCTGTATTGCAAAGCAGTCTGAACTGCTGTTTGGGCCTAGTTGAAAAGGCAATGAAGAATTGCACAGAGTATGAGGTCAGTTCAGAAAGATTTGCCACTAACAGCATAACGATGCATAAGCAGTTTCAAACTTACTGAAGATTTGGATTGAGAAGGATAGACAGTTAATGTGATGCTTTTAGTTTTCATAGAACTGTCCAAAGTTACTGATGCAAGTGTAGAGCTAAGTTTCAGTTTGGTTGGTATTACTAGTATGTACAAATATGCATTATGCAGCTGTGAAAATGTTTGTAAATAACATCAATATGAGGAAACATTGTGCAAATGATATCTCATACAAAAAAAGGTAAACTGAAAGTTCATTATCGATTCCCTGCTTGCTTTCCCTTTAGAAAGATTTGTCATGGGAGATATACGACCAGCAGACCAAACAAACAGTATTTAAAACTCATATTCAGAGCAAGTTCTTAGGCAAAAAACACAAGCAAAAGATCTCACATCTACTTGGTAAATCGTTATGAATAATGAAATAGTTCAGAGGCACATAGGATCTGTTTCTGAATGAATAACTAATTAAAGGAGGAGATAAATTCACTATGAACCTTACTCCTAATGAGCATCTTGATGAGCTCTTATATTCAGATAAAACCAGCCAGACAGGGGCAAGTTAGGACACTGAGCTAATGTGTTGGTTTTTTTTTTTTTTTAACTTCCTTTTTTCTTTTGGTGACATCAGTTTAATTCTTGAGGAGAAAAAAACAGGGCAAATAATGAAAATACCCTTCCACAGAAGTCTCAGTCATAGATAATTAGGCTGTATTTGCAACTACATTTCTTTAATTTTCCTTCTCAAACCATTTTATGTGGATAAGAATTATTAGCATCATTCACTACTTCACATTTGCGTATGTGTTTGTATGTATTTTCACAACAAAAACATTTGCACTCTCATCCTCAGCTGATAGGGATTTTTTGTCAGTTAGGTCGTGATAGGAAAAGAACAAAGGGGGAAGTCAGAAAAGTATTGAATAATTCATTTTATTATTTGTCTGTGTGCAGCAGCAAATAAAGAAGGAATATAGGTTCAAATGCCCCAGCTATGGATTAAAAGAACTAACCTTTTTCTTAGGGTAGGTGCACAGCCCAAATATGCTCTGATATGGGAAGGAAAAGAGGGTTAGTCTTTCCTAGGTGATGGTTCATTTTTTCCCCTACTAAGTGCCATTTCTGGTCTACATCTAGAGGAATCAAAAATCCATCATTTATCCTTGACCATGCATGTGATTCTAATAGTCACTGGTCAGTCTCTCTGCAGAAACAGATAAGTCACCAAACCCCCACCATCCTGTGTGACAAACACAGCAATTAATAAGATAAATGCAGGAGACTCTCTTCAATGAAAGTCAGTGATTTTTCTATTTCTGCTTTCAAGTATCCTTCTATTATTCATGTAGTGTATTTATGTGGGACCACAGGCTTACCTACTTTCCCTCCTTAGACAGCTTATTAGGATTTCAAAATGGACAATGGAAAATTTTACTTCCCAGTATATGGATGATTAAGGAAACTATGGTTCATATACCTACTTCCTCCCTAGTCTCCACATCCTCATTATCCAGGTCTTTTTCATCCTCTTCCTCTCCATCACTTTCATAGTCACCTGCAAAAGTAGAAAAGAAGCAGAAGCAAACGTGTTCAACCTAATATCTCTCAGGCCCTCCACAGAGATGTGCAATCTCATATGTGTGTGCCACACGCCTTCAAACTACAACCCACACAACCCTCATTAAAGCAGATCCCATTTGTTAATCTAGAATAAACGAATTTGGCACTAAATCTCCCACTTTTTAAATCTCTGTTCTCTTGGACTTGAGCACTACCTTTCAAACCATGACAAATGTCATCATGATATGGATCCAACTCGTATTACAAAGCAATACAGAGATTTTCTGCTTGGCTGCAATGATGTTACAGGATGCTCTTAATCCATATTATCTAGATTACGGTGTTTTATTGCTATCATCATTATACTATTTGAACATCTTCCATATGAAACTGAAAGCAACAGAGAAACTGCTTGTGTGTATCATGGAGTCTGCCATTTCTCCTCTTCTGTGGAGTGCCTATCCTGCCTGTGCTTAAGTTCTGCTTTTTAGCAAGTTCTCACTTCTGTTACTCATGTAGCGCGACTGCTACATGCCTTTATTTTATAAATCAAAAAGGATAATGCTTCCTACAATTCCTTACTGAAAAGGCTGCAGGGCAGTGTTCCCCAAACAAGCAGCCATGCACAGGCACAACTGTCTCTCCATCTGTTGTGGAGCAATGGCATCTCCATCCTCTGCCATGCACACTCTGTTCCATTATTTTTTGGATAATGAATGATGACTTTTTTTTTTTTTTTTTCCCTTTTTCCTTGCTCCTTTTAATCTTCTCTCCTTTATTCTGCAAACAGAATTGCAAAGCTTTGAGAAAACCTGGGAGACACTGTAAGCCATCAAACTAATTTTAACTGTAAACCTCAGGACTAGGTTGCCAAGACTCCCTTTCCCAACCCACATTTAATTCTTATGTCATGCTCCTTTTCCTCCTACTGAACTCACCCTTCATCCATTTACCTTCAATTCCCTCACACAAAGGTTCAGCCTTGGCATTCCCAGGAAGAGGGAAGGAGTAGGAACTTTTCACTATCCCCACAGGCAGAGGCTCCTTGGGGTAGCATTTTCTCAGAATCTGAGTCACAGTGGTTACAATAGGATCCAGATTTTTGCAAGATAAACAGTCCTAGGAACCAAAGGAGAACAATGTTAAGAATTGTCACTTACAATTGTCCTGCTTATTACACATAATCCCCCAAAGCAGAGACACTCTTCTGACTAGAATATGAAATCTTTGTATTTATGGCTTTTTTCCTCACTTCTTCTTTTTTTTTTTTTTTCTTTTCATTTTTACCAATAAAGAAATATGCCTGGAACAACAAGACCTCAAGTTCTTGCAGTCTATTTCTTACAGAAATACAGACTAGCATGGACCTCAGGGGAATTTCACTGATGCATGTCATTTAGAAGACACAGCATCCCCTAGCTCTGCTCTAATACATACCCAAGGTATAATGAAAGAAGGCATAATAGCAGCATAAACTAAAATATCCTAGCTAACGCAGGTAACAGTAGCACTGAAAAGATACGTTCTTTAACATGGATTAAAAAATCCTGCAGGGAGTCCATGCATATATTTTGGCTGCCAACACATGCCAAGATCTGTGCCTCTGTGTCTTCACCATAGCTATACCCAGAGATATCATGTCAAAACTAACACAGGTAAGCTAGCACAGTTAACATTATTTCACTGTACTCAGGGTACACATTGTATACTCAGAGAGAGCATTCCCACTATACTCTATTCTATATGTTTAAACATTAGGCCCAATAGTTAGTCTGAAAGATTGCTATCTGTTACATAGTCATAAAATATTGAATTCCTGCAATATCACACGTTGCCTGATTCTATAATATAGAGCAGGAAATAGAAGGGTAAAGAGCTGAGAGCCCTCATGTACTTTGAAGACATAGAATATTTTTGTATTTTTATTACTGTGATATGCAAGTCAACTCCTCGGTCTTATATTGCAAAGAGAATAAACACACACACACTAACACATGCCCCCCTAAACCTAAAAGAAAAGACCCCCTGGGAGATTGTAGTAAGTGTATGTCTGACATCATCTACTTGGATTTATGCAAAGCATTTGACACTGTCCCACACAACATCCTTGACTCTAAATTGGAGAGACATGGATTTGATGGAGGGACCACTCTATGGCTGAGGAATTGGCTGGATGGCCACACTCAAAGAGTTGCGGTCAACAGCTTGATGTCCAAGTGGAGAGCAGTGACAAGTGGCGTTGCTCAGGGGTTGGTGCTGGACCAGTGCTACTTAACATCTTTGTTGGAGACATGGACAGTGGGATCAAGTGTACCCTCAGCAAGTTCACCAATGACACCAAGGTGTGTAGTGCAGTTGACACACTGGAGGGAAAAGATGCCATCCAGATGGACCTGGACAGGCTTGAGAGATGAGCCCATGCAAACCTCATGAAGTTCAATAAGGCCAAGTGCAAGGTCCTGTACATCAGTCAAGGCAATTCCATACACAAATGCAGGCTGGGTTATGAGTGAATTGAGAGCAGCCCTGTGGAGATGAACTTGAGGGTATTAGTGGATGGAAAACTGACTGTGAGCCAGCAATGTGTGCTTGCAGCCCAGAAAGCCAACTGTGTCCTGGGCTGCAATCAAGTATGGCCAGAAGGTCGAAGGAAGTGATTCTCCCTCTCTACTCTGATCTTGTGAGACCCCACCTGCAGTTCTGTGTCCAGCTTTGCGGCCCCCAGAAAGACATGGACCTGCTCTAGCAGGTCCAGAGCAGGCCATGAAGATGATCAGAGGGCTGGAGCACCTCCCTTGTGAGGACAGGCTGAGACAGTTGGGGTTGTTCAGACTGAAGAAAAGAAGGCTCTGGGGAGACCTTATAGCAGCCTTCCAGTGTTTAAAGGGGTCTACAGGAAGGATGGGGAGGGACTCTGTTTCAGGGAGTGTAGTGATAGGACAAGAGGTAAGGGCTTTAAATTGAAAGAGTGAGATTTAGTTTAGGTATTAGGAAGAAATTCTTCCCTGTGAGGGTGGTGAGGCGCTGGCCCAGGGTGCCCAGAGAAGCTGTGGCTGCCCCCTCCCTGGAAGGGTTCAAGGCCAGGTTGGACGGGGCTTTGAGCAACCTGGTCTAGTGAAAGGTGTCCCTGCCCATGGCAGGGGGATTGGGACTAGATGATCTTTAAGGTCCCTTCCAACCCAAACCATTCTATGATTCTATTTGATGTCTTCAATATAACAGACAGGGAGCTTGGATAAGCAAATTACAGCTGCTGCAGAAAGATAAATTTGCTTAAAACTGATAGCTGTGATGCTCAGAAAACCAAGCTTTCTGGTTTCCCCAAGTACAGTGCATCTATACTACAGCCTCCACCAGAGAGATTGACTAATCAATGTAATATCCCATCTAAGTTCACAACTTGTACCGTGCCTACCAGCATGTTATATTCAGTCTCTTGGGCCTAAGACTTAGCTCATCAGAAGAGGAATGCGAGTCAAATAAGCATCATGAATGTGCTATAAGGCAAAGGAGGAATATTACAATACATTCTAATACCATTTAATATTTCTGCATCACTTCAGCACAGATAAAATGGAACAGCCCGGAAGGCAGAATAGATATTTGGTGTCATTGTCTGACAGCTCATAGTTAGGAATTGGGCTGGACAGAAAAAATATTCAGCAGAACCAGGAAGATAGTCAAAGAACATAGCAAAGCACTTTATTATAATCAGAAACAGGAAAGCGACTGTATTGGGTTTTTTTTGGTTGTACAGGATTTTATTCTGTTCTCTCATGTATGATTGAAGGGCATTATAAGATTCAGTGGGATTAACCAGGATTCCTGTAGGGAGGCTAGAAAAACCATCTAAAGCTGACATGCTTACAAGACTCACTACAACAGTCTTAATATGTATTTCTAGATTTGTGGCTGTTAGGAGCAAGGGGAAGAAGAAAGAATTTTGAAAGCATCTCCAAGGAAAGTTTTATTGTGGTTAGAGCAAACACCAAGCAGAACTGATTTCTATTTCCAGTGTTTCAATCTATTCACTCTTTCACAGGGTGTGTGGTTGTTTTTGTTCACTTGTTATTAAAACAAAGCTAAGGAAAGTTTGTCTACATGTGGGAACAGAATAACATTGTTGAACAGTCTTACTATAGTTTACTAAAACTCTTCTGTTTTTACTAGAACAGTGAACACAGGAATGTATAAATGCCTGCTTTGGGCCAGCCATCTTAATTCACTGCCAATTGAATTGAGATAGTCAAGAACAGCGCGTGTTCATCTAGACAATGAACTTCCACACGTGAAGTTATTCAATGATGCTGTTTGAAAGTAATTTTTCTCTTTACAGCAAATTAGCTTACAAGTGCAAACAAGCCTTCAGGTACCGTACAGGGAATATGTGGGACTGTTTTAATTACTGTTCATAAAATGCCTTCAGATTCCAATACAGTTTACAGATGACTGAAAAATGTTCAATCACTGTGTTGAAAAAGCCTTTTTTATCGACACCTGAGAAATAGACAGAAGACTGCTCTGTATGTGTGTAAACTGTCCCACTTATTTTGCAGTAGGATATTGTGATTGAGGGAAGAGTATGAATCCTTAGCTCAGATAAACCCATGTAAAACTAACCTGAATTCAGGGAATCTGCTTTTTAGGCTCCACACTCAATCTTTTCTCCACTGAATCTGGAATAGTGCAGATATTATGATAGGTATGTGATGGATGCAAAAAAAAAAAGAGGTTTCAATGTGACAATAAGGCAAAAGGTAATGATGCTAATAGATGCTACTACTGGGAAATATAGAGTGGAGTATAGGGTAATATTATCCTAGAGTAGACCCTAGTACAGGAAAACTGAAGAGAAACCAGGCAAGCTTAAGAAATCAGATGGATAGATGATCAAATAACAAAATAATGTTCCATGCACCAGTCTCTTAAAGCAGATATAAATTTGTTTTCTTCTCTCAGAGTAGGAAGCTATCTGTCTGCATACAAAGCCAGCTAGTTGCTAATGTGAATATACCATTTAACTGCCATGAAAGTCTAAGTGGAGCTTGGAAAAAGACATGGGAGCAGAAAGTGCTTCCTTTTCACAAATTATTTAATTATATAAAATTATTTCTCATTCTAGGTAGGATCAGAACTCAAAATATCTCTAAATTCTCATAAAGTATCTCTAAATTATTCTCAAATAAAGTAGCAGTCCCTTCTAATCTATGTAAGTAGACAGTCTTTGAACTACTGGCTCTTTCTGTAAAGACATAGGCTTAAGGGCTATTAAAAGCTCAGGTATTTCAGCTGCCCATCAGCCCATACATTAAGCAGCTGGAGAGATTTCATTTGAAAACCAGCCTTGTAAATAGGAGTTCCACTGGAGGTTGTTAAACACATCTTGGCAAAACTGTTTCAACTTCAATAGATTAAAAAAATTCAGCAGAACTCTTCTAGCCAGATTTTAGCACCTTTAAAATCTCATTAGCTGCTCAGAGTTCGGTCAAGGCTAACCACTGCAGCCAGCAAATTCATAAAGGCACTAAAATACTGTCTATATCCAAGGAGACATTGCTTTCCCAAACAGGAGCTGTTTGTCTTGCCCCATCTCCGTCTCCTTCTCTCTTACTACAGCCTGCTGTTCCCCTCAGGAGAATAGATTTCCCATTTTCTGTCTATCATAAAGATTTTATTAGCAGTAGAAGCTTCTACCTCAGGTCAGAGTAGGCAAGAGCATGAGAGAGACCTCCTAGGGCTGCCAGACTCCTCCTAACATTTCATGTCTTGGAGAGACACTGTAAGACTGACAATATCCCAAAGAAGTAGCAAGGGAATGTTGAGCTTTGAATTTGTTAACCTCTGTAATTTCCCTTCCAAAATCTCTCTGCTAGTTCACAGTAGAAAAAAGGCAAACTGGAGGCCCCTGAAGCTGTCATTTCCGCTCCACTTCTAACCTTTAGAAGGATTAGCATTATCAGTGTTCACTGGAGTCTTATTATGTCATTCCTGTTTGTTCACGCAAGGTGACCCTATGTTTGCACTTTCCATGGTGTTGCTGCCAGGCTGAGCTATCAGTAGATGTTAGCTCAGAAATCTACGTGGGCTGTAGAAGGTTCTTGAGGGGGAATGAACTGACATCTACCCTTGAGTATCTGTTGCCATCCACCCTATTCAAGTTTCTGCAGATCAGGGACTTCTCATTAACAGAGGAAATACTCCCTTGAAAGACCTGCTGGTTCTGATCACCTCATTCCACCTGAAAAAATAGTCAAGTCCTCATGAGGAAAATTAAGTGAAAAAACTACCGTTCTACCATCTACTACTAGTAAGAAATATCTTTCAGTCACAGGACAATTGTTCATGACAGCAATGGGAAAGGTGAAGAAGCAAATACACTGGATCATAAGGCAATGGATTTTTCTGGAGGAGAAGGGGACAGGTTTTTAATTCTGTCTGTATGCTCTGGCTAGTAAGAATGACAATGGAAACACTCTATGTGGAATCCCATGGATCAAGAACTGAAGGTTCCTCCATAAGTGACTTCTCCAAAGAAGGCTAAGGAAGCATGTTTGCTGAGACACTCGGAGGAAAATGTTATTGTTCTGTACCTGCCTTTTCTACACCTTAAAGGAATCCCATTCTCAGAACTGTTGTCTTTATTGATGAATCCACATTAAAGTTTCACAAGATTAAAACTGGGCTTACTTGAAAACAGTTGGTTGATTTTTTCATTAGCAAAGACCTAGATAAAACAACATTTTTTTTTCTGTATAGAAGACTGATTGAGTGGAGTTAGCAGTCTGGATACCTGAAAGGAAACATCTCATGAAGCACCTAAGCAACTCTTATGTGGAGACACAGAACTGTTCTTTGGGAGAAGTCCAAGCAGACGTCAGGATCCACAAGGGAGGAGAAAAAAGCATCAAAAAGCCTGAACTACAATTCCCGTGATGTTTAGTAGGAATTACAATTAACTTTAAACTGAAAGTACTTCAGAAAAGCTGAAATGTAACTGTGAAAAAGTCAATATTTTAATACTATCAGTTTTTTCATTGATATGTTATATAAATTCAGGATAAGACTACAGAATTTCCTGCACTATGAGGTAGAACTCAGCGCTAAGTACCAATGCATCTCACTTAATCACAAAACCACCATTTACCTGTACACTTGTAAAGAGAATATCCATACCCTGGGAACCAAGGAAAGTCTCTCTGCCCAGCTGGATGTTGGTGATGTGCTTTAGGCAGAGTAGGAGACCCCTACGAATATAAATGTAGTTGTTGGAGACATCATTGTGATGCCAGTCTTGATAGAGTCTTAGCAATCCACCCAGGTAGCCTCTGTTCACTGCCCGTCGGCTGTTAGACTCTGAAAATGAAAAGGCTGAATTAAACTCTTTCCACTACTCATGCTGTCTGATAACCACATGGTTACTCAGTGCTCAAACTCAGACTTTAACACCTACTCAATCTTCTTAATGGTCTTGGTTTTCTTTTATTATGATTTAGGGTGTTGTTACTTGCTCAGCATGAGCTAGGCTCTTGGAATCATACATGAAAAAAATAAAGCAGTATGTCTCCTCTCTAGGTGGAAATGGCTGCTCCAGAACCCTCCAGAGAACCAAACCACAGGTGGGGAAACGTCAGAGCCCCTATCTCTTTCCAAGTGCTAATAAACCTAATTCCAACTGCAGCACCGTAAGAATTCCTGAAACTAAAGAAGTTCCTGAGGGGTGAGGAAAGTTAAAGAATAGTAAGATTAGTCAGTAGCAGATCATATAATCTTCACATAGTGCTGTACTTCAGTCCTGAGAAAACACTTTGCCAAGATCAACAAATCTAGAAACCTTATGGCTGTGCAATCCTGTCACAACCAGCGGAATTATGTTTAACTTCTAAATGTATTCTTACACATACCTGCACAACAGAAGCCATGAATCAAATGATTCTGAAAATCACAATATTTAAAAATTAACAAAACACAAACATGAACAACAACAGTTTGGACTTATTTTCTGGCTCTGAGATTATAAAGGTCACATTCAGGTAACATTTAAGGGCTTTACTGTATGGGCAAGGAAAAAAAAAAAAAAACTTTATAAAAATACAAAAGGAAAGCTGCAATGTTTCCTTAATCGTGTAGCTCCTGGATATCAGACTAACAGAAAATTATAAAACTTGTAATAAAATACAAATTCTGTTGAGTATTCTAAAGCACATCCCTTCACCTACTGCATTCCTTGTCCTGCCCCACAGGACCAGACTTTAGGCTCCCTCACTTCAACCCTGCCTAAGCATATTTTCCTGACTGGTCCTGACATTCCTCACTGTGTCACACATTAGAAGCTGTCAGGAGCTCAGTAATCTACTGAGGGGCCAGGTAGCATAAGTAAGACTGGAACTCAGTTCCCTGAATACCAATCAGCATTTGAAGCTCACAACAGATGGCTCTTGGTATGGGTTCTCCAGAGCTGGTAGGCTCCAATACATTTCCAGTTCATTAAACAAAGTGTCAGAGCCTCTCACACCTGGAATGTTAGAGTCATCAGTGGGGATTTACAGGACAAGAGAAGCTAGATGTTAAGAGAGAGAACAGAAAAATACTGCATGAAGAAAATCAGTAACAAGAGAAGCCATGGAGAGAGTAAGCAGGAAGCAGATAGTAGGCAGCAAACCTCAATCTCAGAGTTGAATTAGATGGAAATATTAGAAAGGGGAAAGAAGTCACTTGAAGTCATCTCAGTCTTCTTTCTGCATGCAGTACATTAGCAAACTCTTATCTGGAGAAGGGATTGGATAGTAATTCTACTACCCAGTCCTGTCCTGCAATTTTCTCTACCATTGGCACCACAGGGCAGGCAACAAATAGCACCCCTGGACCCGTTTGACAACTCATTTTAATACTGCTCTGCATCTTCACACCACCCTGTTGACATGACTCCATACTGACCTGATGGTCCCATAGCTATTCCAGTCCTACACAGCTCTGCCCAGTCTCGTACACCTTGGCCTGCAGTTCTCTCTAGCACTTTATCCCCTTGTTGTTAACCATCTCATGCTAACTCTGCCAGAACATCTTGTATTTCAGGGCTCAGTGATTGTCATCATGTAGAAGGTCATCCCTCTCATTTGACCTTCATTCTATGTTTCTTTTTCCTATTTGACTTACTGCAAGAAAACTTTAATTGCTTGAGAATCCCTTATCAATCCCAATGATTTTATTCATGATTTCCTGTTAATCCTCAACCAACTATCATGTTTACTAACCTGCACAATGTCTAACTCCTTAAATCAGTCAATCTTCCTCAAAGAATTACTCAAGAAGCTCTGTAAAAGTCAATAAGTATCTAAAATATGACAAGAAGAAGAGAGTCAGGGAGTGTAAAGTAGGGACAACTGGGATCAGACTCAGAGATTCCCTGAACTGTTCAGAGGCAGATGAAATTGGACTAGATCTAGGTATTTATAACCCCTAGCATTCAGTGCTTGAAGTCTAAGCTTTCTGCGTCAATGTTGATAGAAAAAAGGAAATATTGGAATGCACTGTGGGTAGAGATTCTCAGGGAATTTACTTTAAAAAAAAAAAAAAAAAGAAAAAAGAAAAAAAAAATAGAATTATCATAAAATGCATTTCTGATGTTTTCTTTCCAAGACAGACTTCCATGTTTAGATCCCAGCTCCAGAGGACCAGACCACACAACCGTCCCATGTCTCAGTTTTATCACTGGATGAAAAGCATGGAGGAAGCTGAGCAAAATAACTTCACTGTGTTTCTCCTCATGTTTTCTGTAGTACTTATCACCTTTAAAATCAAAACCAATGCGCTTTGAAAAGTGAAGCTGAGATATCCTGTTCTGAAGAGGAGATGGAAAAGGCAGGACTACAGATAGTTTCCTCAGCACCTTAATCAAAACCAATGAGTATTACTTGCTGAAGAGGCAAAAAACCCATTCATTTTGTTTCTCCTGTCTGATTTAATTGACTCTCCTCTGCTCTCCTGTGTTGTCAGGTTTTTTCTTATTTTTTTCTTCTATCTTCTCAGTTGTATAGTCAATAAAGTAGTGACTAGATGAAGAAGGAAGTATGCCAAGATCTCCAGAAGGCAGAATGGAAAAAGGAGGCCTCCCCACCTGTCTGTGTCTGTTGGTCTCTCCATCTATGGATGCACCTGCATGGGTATCTGTCTATACTGTGGCACAAATACAGATGGTGGAAATGAATCATACAGGTACAAACAGCACTGCACAGATTTGTAGGCAGCAAGAACCCACCCCTCCCATAGTGCGTATGGATGATCTGTGTGGTAAGTGGTAAAATGTCTTATATCTTTTGACCTTTTTGCTCCTATTCTTTCATTAGTCCCATCCCTTCTCCCTGGATATGGTCAGCATTCAGTGGAAATGGAAGTCCTCATTCCACACGGCTTTCAGAAGTGCCCAAGGATGATGCTTCCTATTTTGATTCATGCTTGGCCTGTGTGACGGGTTTAGTCCTCATGTTTGAACTAACTGAACTTTGCTCCAGGCAGATGATCAGCAAAGCCTAACTGAAGTTAATCCTATTTTGGGAGGCTATCAATGAGAACTTGTCAGCGCCCCCCCGCCCAAAATGGTTTGATTAGAAACTGGGCTGGTAAGTGGCCAAAACTGATTTAACAGTAGAAAATTTGATTATAAATCAACCACTTTATGCTATAAATATCTGCAGCCATCAGGGCCCATTGAGCTTTCCCCCCATAGCATCTAGCTGCATGGCGGTGATCTACCCTTGAGTAGGGATGCATCTCAAGGTTACCCCTCAAGGCTGAGAGATCTTCACCTGAACACAGACATTGATGGATTGGTAAGTGACATTTTTTGCATGCATGTAACATTTAAGATACCTATAGTAAGCTTACATGACTACTGTTGTATCCCATACTAACTTTAAGTGTCGTATACAGTAGAGTATTGACTTCCAACCCACCTCTACTTATTCAATATTTTACATACCTAAATTTACTGACTAAATCTCAATAAACTAACTACTGGATCATATCTAAGTGATCTCTGACTTCTCCTTCAACAGTCTGTCTTCCTAATCTTATTTTGGCATCTTGGAAAGTGGACACTGTCTTCACTACCTTCAAACATGTCACCGGCAGAGCATTTTCTGCCTACTGAGGCTGGGATGGGTGATGAGGGAATGTTCAGTGTCACCTCAGTTTCCCACACTTCTAGAATTGACCCTCCACTTCTGGCTTCCAGGGCAGTGCTACTAACCAGTGAAAGTTTAAGCACTACAGGACAGAATAGCTGGCCTGAATAATTTGTGCAGTTAGCCAAAAACATTTAACATGCATGCACAGCCAATGTGCAGAAGCATCAAATGATTAAAGATGCACCTCAATTAGCAAGGGCATCACACTACAAAGAAGTCCCCACTTTTGACAGAATTCTGATTTTGTGTTGGGGGACAAGGACAGACTCTAACACCAGGGTTTCAGTCAGGTAGATAAAAGTCTCATGACTGTCAGTGTTTCTATGGACATTTCTGAAGCCCTATTCGCATTCTGGTCTCCTTTGAAGTGTTTGCCAGAAATACAGGGACCACTGGAAAACATGCAGCATATTTAATCACAAAACTGAATTACAGTCAACCTGAAATATGATGAGCAATGCACTGCTTACCAGGCAGAACAAAGAGATATTTATCTTTCTGTCTATCTGCTTAAATGTCTTTGTTGATGCCACTCAGCAGATTCATTATGCCAAGAACATACATTGCTACAGTTTGGAGATAAGAATACTCTGCTAAATTAACCCTATGGCCCCTAAGACAGTGAAAGGAATAAGAAAATCACCAACTTCCCCATTCTAGTGATTACCTCTTGGGAATAAAAGATGCAAGATATCTCCTAAAGCAAAGAGAAAAGAGCTTTTTTATTCAGTTGAAAGGCCATTTTTGCTAGAGATAAGCGTGAGGGTTTCCTATAGAATCAAAATTAATTTTCCCCATAGAGAGACTTAGTCACCCACTAAGTGCTGGACCCAGTGGGCTCTACAGTTCCAGCAAGAAGCTAGTATTAGCTCAACTCTTGTTGGAAGCCAGACTACTGTAATTGTGCCTTTGTAAACTTCACAGAGTCCAGGAATTTATTCAGGCATTTAGGATAGACAAATGAAACTGGCACAAAGGTAGAGAACACAGGCAGGATTTACTAGCAACTACAAGTGCCATATTTTGCTCCTAGACCAGGAGTCAGACACAAGCTTACAGCTCATTCTTTCTACTCCAAAATATTTTATTTACTTCCAGGTGTTGGCTAATTCAGTGGCAGTCATACAAACTGTATTATGCCATGGTGATTCTTCTCTAATTTGCCTTTTT